AAAAAAAAAAAAATGTTATGGCGAAATGAGGCCCCCTACCAGTTGAGGCCCTGAGGCGCATGCCTCATCTGCCTCTCCTCAGGACCGGCTCTGACTAACGTCAAAGTAGATTGCCAAATTTTGCATTGAGGTTTCTGTTCATATCCAAGGCAATCCGAGACCCTTAGTCATGTTTCTATGCAAGCACTCTAATTATGTTTTGTGCCAAAGTGTCAATCCTATATTCCCTTACGTGGGTGTGCCTTAGCATCTAAGACGTTTTTCTTCTTAGGAAAGTCTAGATGATCGAGGCACAAATATTAATTCCGAATCTATGAATAGGTTGGAGAGGGACAACCTTGAGGTGATCCCCTAAAGGGTATTATTTCCGGTTCATCCAGTTGCCCATTAACCATAAAAGCAAAGTTGGATACTGCAATACAACCCCAAATCGAATGTGTCCATGTGGCCCTGGACAAATAGTCTTTCCTCTCGGGAGGAGTGCTATACATATGGCCCTGGACGTCCCGGGTGTCAAATGGCACCCCCCAAGGTTTTGGAGGGGGGAAGCTGTCTTTTCCTCGGAGAATCACATCCTCTCCATCACCAACACGCTAAAATCTCACTCTCCCTTGTCCGTTGTCACAGATTTTACTCACAGGGTGGATGGAGCCCATTTAAAGTTTCATAGGTATTTATAAAGAAATTGTCCTCCCTAACTCCGCCACTCATTAGCATCTACCTTAAAGGCACTAAAACCTTTTTGCCCTCAAAAACCTTTCCCAAAGGATGAAGCAACTCGAAGGCTACAATAATATTATCGAGGGAACAAATGCACTTTATTGTTCTGTAATTGGGGCCGTAGGCTCCCATTTAAGTCCGTTCGCAAAGGTCATTGTGTTCAAGTTACAGAGCACATTGCACAAGCTAATACGGCGATAGTTCGACACCATTTCATGGGATCAGAACCATGTCTCTCGTTCATATAGTTTAGAGGTTCACTTTCATCAAGAACCTTCAAGACAGCCTCCAGCACTCCCCTGCTATCCATGAGTACGAAAAACATGGCACGAAACCATCAAAGCCAGGAGTTTTTGAAGGTCAATTTGTTTACCGGCTGCCTCCACCTCTTCCCCTGTAATTGTGTCTCCAAATGGTCCGTGTCCTAAGTGATCCCAAATATAAATTCTACTGCAACCAAATGATATCGCTAAAACAAAAAGAAAGACATGGCGCTGCATGTATCAATTTGCATCACGCTTATAGGATGAAATTCGGTACAAACATTACACATTTAGGAAATAATATTGGACATAACTGAATAATATTGTAAAAATATTTTAAATTTTTTCTTAATACTGTCTAGGAATGTCAATGTGAATGGAGGCGGTTCTTGAAGGCTTCCCAAGTCAATCCTTTTTCAATGAATTGGATGTTGGAAGGATCAAAAGGCCCTTTTATTCTGTCTATGGTTTTGATGACTGCCCTTGCAGGAATAACACTTCTTGATGGATCTGCTGTTGTTTTGTAACTCAAGCATGAAGAAAATCCCTGACATTAATTGGAAAAAAACTAAATGAAAATAACCAACCACATTATCACAAAATTCTAGTGGGGAAATAATTAGAAAAAAAAAACAATAAATATTAAAAAGAATAAACTAACTTCTTTCTATTGCTTAATTTTATTTGATAAGATAAATCCAAGTGCTGCAATATACCTTGAAGACAAGAACTTCAGCTTCTTCTCCATCCACCATAGCCTTCACCAAAAGAACTTCATCTTTCACATATTGAGTGTATGTTTCCAACATTCCTATCTCTTCATTCTGCTCGTATTCTTCGTCATCATCATAAGTTTCATCGTATAAAGCTCTTCGTCTAGCACTGCATTGCACTCCTGCAGAAGCTGATTCAGCCTCCAACTTCA